ATGCTGCAATGCCACGTATCCAATCGATCCACGGATTGCATAAGTGCTCCATGCTGTATTCGATTACACTATTATGTCTCCCCCTAACCCCCCTGGAGTCGGGCCACATGCCCGCGCCGAAGTGGCAGCTCCCTTTCTAGGGCAATGCAGACGTACAAAAACCGATTGAAAAAATGTGGTTCGGGCCCCTGGGTTTTCTTTGAGGGCCCAAGAGTGCGTCGAGACGGCTCAAGATGGCCTCGAGACGGGCCAAGACGACCCCACGACGGAACAAAATGGCCATAAGCTGGCCCGAAAAACTTCCAAGAAGGCCCCAGAGGGCCCCAAGACGATCCCCAAGAGCGCCTCCAGAAGCCAAAATGATTGTTTTCCCGTTGACTGTTGAAGGACTTTAGCGGTCTCGGTTGTTTCTATCATTAGAAATACATGACGGCCCAAGCAGCCTCCAAAAGGATCCCAGGACGGCCCCAGAAACCCCCAAGAGGACCCCGAGGCGGCCCTAGAAGGCCCCAAGACGGCCCAAGGAGGCCCCTGGACGGTCCCTGAGGCCCCCAAGACGGTCCAAGAGGACCCCAAGAGAGCCCCGAGGCGGCCGCGAGAAGCCCACAGGACGGCCCCCGAAGGAGCGACACGGCGCAGGAGCGTCCCAGGACGGCCCAAGACGACCACAAAAGCCCCAAGAGGCCCCAAAGAAGCCCCCAAGAGGCCTCAAGGAGCCCACGAGAGGCTTCCAAGAGGCCCCAAAGAATCTTCCGCCAAGCCCCACAACGTCTAGACTGCACGTGCTCCGGACGCCAGCTCCGCGAAGCGGAAAAACTTTCGCGAACCCTACGCGGATGGCGGGGCCACTCCCGGCGCGCCCCCTGCGTAGCGAAGGGAATCGCGCGACTGCCGCGCCTTGCAAGCCCGAAACGGACAGTGGGGCCACCCCCCAGCACACCCCCTGCGGCGCCTAGGAAGTGGCGCGCCGCCAACGCTCTGCGAACCCGAAACGCATAGTGGGACAACCCCCAGCACACCACCCGCGATGCGCGCGCGGCTGCGCGAGGGCGCGCAACTCGCGCAGGCGCCGCGCATGCGTCGCGCGCGTCACGCGTGAACGATGCAATGAACCAAGCAGGCGCCTACTAGACTTGCACTGCGCTCGCGTGCGTCTCGCCACGCGTGGACGCGCGCGCCACGCGAATGCCGCGCGCGCGTTGCGGGTGCCCGACGTGCACGACGCAACGAGCACGCCAGGTGCACGCAGGCGCCGCGCGGCACGCGCGCGCCACGCACGCGCGCGCGCGGCATGGAGATGGGCAGGATGGGAGGGCGAGGGGGCGGAAGACGCGGTCGCGAAGCGGGCGCGACGCGGGCGGAAAGATAACCAGACCCCCAACTCAGCGCGCAGGGGAAAACACGCTGCCCGCTCGGGCCATTGTCTCTCACGATGGAAGAGAGAGGCCCGTCAATCGCAGCAGCTACACCCCTTCTTGAAACGTCATGCAAAACAGAAGGCACTGCCCTATCAGCCGCCTCGTTAGCGAGACTGCCCCGGCGACCCAACGGGCCGCCCCCACTGGCTAAGGAGGCCGCGAGAGACGCGAAAAACGACCGCGAAACCGCGCGCCCCGCCACGAGCACCCAGAAGACCCCCGCAACCGCTATGGAGCCCCGACCCGCCGCCCGCGCGCCGCGCGCATGACCGCGAGGGCCAGGGGCGGAGTCGCGCAGCGCGCGCAGCCATGTTTTTCGCGCCGGGCGAGCACTCGGCGGGGGCGCGCCCTCATAAACGCGCTGCGACGCAAAGCGAAAGGCATGCTGATGCAGGGGCACCAGGGGGCACCAGGAAACACTTTGGACAATCGGAACCAATATCTCGGCAAGATCGGCGGCCTCTCCCGCGGGGAACCAGGCGGCCCTTGACTCTCCGATCACAGCCCCCAAGATCCCCCGGCAACCCCCCGGGCACTCCAGTCGGGCACGCCCGCCCAAGGAGAGGAGGCGCTGCGTGGGGGGGGGGGGGCAGAGGGCCCGCGGACTCTCTGGCGATTTGGGCCCGACTGCGCGCCGCGCGCATCAGCCTTCGCGGCTACAGACTGCGACTCACTGAAGGCAGCGGCGACAGCATCAGGATCACGCAGCGGGACGCACCCAGCGCCCACGCCAAGAGGCGGTCGACGCCCACGACGCCAAAGAAGCAGACCCCGCGCCAACCGAAGGTCCTGTCGAGCGACAGCCCACGAGGCCTATCTCCAAACCACCGTGCGCCCCGGCGGTCTGCGACGGGCTCGCGATAGAAGAGCGCCCCGAGTCGCGCGCCCAGCAGGGCAGCGGACACGAACAGCCAACCGCGAGAGCGCATCAACACGCTTGTCTGAACAACCAGAATTCGCAGTTCCCGCGGAAGCATATAAAATTGCCTTGTAGACGGGGCCACGCGCGGTGCAACCCGCAGGCGGCTGGGCCCGCTGCTCGCCACGAGAACGAGCAGACCAGGACAACGATAGTATCGCAATCAACGAACCACGGCAGCCAAGCTCCCCTGTCCCCGCGGCGAGACGAACCGACTGTCAGAAGCGAATCGCAATCCACTCGGGAGACGATGCGAACAATCCGCGACGCCATCCGATGAGATCATTGCCACATGCGTCGGACGAGTACCGCTACCTTCAACCGCCCGCTTCCAGGCCGCACACCACGGGGTCTCATGCATCCTCCGAGCCTGTGATCATTCAACCTCTTGTCGCCGGGATGCTGCCAGCGCTGGCGCACGCGACGCTGGCCCCTCGACGTCGCCATCCCAGACGTTGAGAGCACCCAGCAACAGACGGAATAGTTTTGTGAGGCCGCAAGGACGAGAGAACATTGGCATTGCATTCGCCTAAACATGGTTCGGATATCATGTGGGCTCATGTCAAGATTATGCATGTTCCAATGGAAACGGGATGCGTGTGATTAACAGCATTCCACGACCAGCAACACCCGCACTTCCACGGCTTAGCAACGCTAGCACAACACCAACTCCGAGGGATAATAATGAAGGTGCCACCATCACGAGGAGCAGGAGGCAGAGAAACGAAAGAAAAACTTGACCACGACCACACTCTGAAGAGCGCGATAGCGCGCAGAGCAGAGCAGCGAGCATTCTGAAGCGCCACGGCTTGCAACCCACTCGTCCGCCGAGAACGCTCGTCCACTTTCGCTGACAGGCTCTGGTTCTTATAGCGCGCGAGAGCCCGAACATTCCACACGAAAACGTGATGGTGCCTCGGACATCGAGGATGTTGTTATACACCCCGCTGCCTATGCTTGTGCCCAAGCGCCTCGACCGCCATGTCCTCAATCGCGCGTGTTGATGTTCGATTTCTGGCCATTGCATCCAGGTTCCACGTGGGTGTTGGGCGACCGGCAGAGCGCGCCTCGACTTTGAGGATCCGTTCCCACGACATAGATATGATACATTCCTCTCGATTCAAATAAGCTGGGCTACAGAACTGACCACTGATTGCATTATTGATATGTGTTGCAAGCGATCGTACCAGTCAGTACTTCCTGTTCTTGCCGACTGAGACCGAGAGAGCAGCATCGTCGCGACCACTGGGAGCTGATTCAGCGAACGGGCGCCACTGCCCTGTTGCTGTGCAGATGGCCGCCAGCGCAGTGCCTGCGCGACGCTCGGCAGCAGCACCTGGAATCTTGAGGGCGAAAGAAAGACCGACCTGTTCGCAACCCAGAAGAACCTCCTGACCTATGATGTAGCTTGCGTTACGAAGCCATAGGGTGAGAGCTGCGGTGACGGAGTCGTAGCTGACCCCGAGCCTGGCGCAAACCAAGACAATTCTGCGATCAACCAGGCGTTCCCTTCCACCAGTACGAGCGATGGGAACGTGCACCCTCTGCTGAAAGAGACCGAACTTCTGCTCCAACGCTTCGAATATGGCCTCAAAGTCAGCTTGTGCCGCGAGAACACCAGCAATGCCCGACTCCGTGACTTTGAACCGACGAGCATGAAGGGATAACTGTTGTTGGGCCTGTTCCTCTGACTCTTTTGGAAAACTGGCCGGGATGCATTCAAGCTCATGGCGGTCATACGCGCTTCAATCGTTTCAGTCATTCCATCACCAGCAACTTTCTTGCCAGTCCCCTGTACCTTATTCGACAGTTGAACAAAGAAGCCTCGCACACTCCCTTGGGCCCGGGGGTCGACTACCCCACCATTCCCAGGAGACGCAGGAGGCGAAATGGAATTGCCTTCATGTTCTTGTGGCTCACCAGCAGCTCCTCCTCCACACCTCCGTCCTGCAACATGGTGATGGGCAGGGGGGATAGGCCATGGTGCAGGCGCGCCGCTCGCAGAACATGGTGTACCCCGAAGTGGGAACGGGAAACTGGCTACGGTTTCAATCTCGGCAGCATCTACAGCAGCGAAGGCGGCGGCGGCGTCGTTGGCGGCGTCCCCCGTGTCGAAGCAGCCGCTGCCACGTCCACCGCCATAACGTGGAGATAGCGAGCCTAGTTCACTGCAGGAGCGCTCGCCAGGGGTACCAAGTGTAGCATCCTTGCGGCAGTCACGCTCACGGTCCCTTGGGCGACGAGGTACAGCTGACGGAGTTGCAAAAAAAACACGGAACACGTGATCGACAGACAGAGGCTCACCGCGAAGGCGCCGACCAGGCGTAGGCTACTTGCAGTACGTGCCATCCTTCTTGACTCTCTTGTCTGTCTTCTCCTTCTTGCCGTCTCAGCCATCAGCCGAGAACTGGGGAACTCGCACCAGCAAGAACTAAAAAAATCTCAGCTCACCTACTGCAGCGAATGCGGTGCGCGCGAGATCACGCGAACGCCTGCGAGGCAGGCGAATCCAGACCTGGAGCAAACCAGGCCGAAAGCTGAGAACTGCCTCGGATCAGAAGTTTCCACTTCCTGTCCAGGTGGCAATTGGTGTCTTGAGCCAAAACAACTACGGAGGAGAAGGAGGAGAAGGAGGAGGAGGAGGCGTTTCACGCCGCCCCCACCTCGGGCTTCCCCAGCAGCAGGTGCTGCATCGGCGCCGTCTCCAATCGCGGGTGCTGCACCAGGTGCAATTCCGCCTCAGCCATCCGACGTTTGGCACTGTGGTGTGGCTACACGTCAAGTTCCTCGACGAATCCAGACAGCGCGCATGCACCACAAAGCATAAACACCGGGCTTGTAAGCCACAGGCTACCCCACAGGATATCCAGGTTGACGCGCAGGATGTTCCGAACTGCACATAGTGTCAACAAACGAGATGGTCAAGCCATCAGGTATCTCACCAGATATCACGAGATGCGAGCACACATCTGCAGCACATAAACATTTGAAGTGTTTTTTTACGCAACGCGAATCAAAATGAATCTGAACGCGCCACGCATGCATGTTCGCCGACATGGGGCCTCACCCGTCCACACGTGCACCTGATCGACAGCGGTCATCACTATTACGACGGTAGAAGTCTGGATCGCCACCATCCTCATGACCCATGATCCTTCACTTGCTCCCCTCGTCGTCCTCCTGCTGTTGATCCTCAACCCCCACTTCCTCCAGCCTCTCCTCCTCCCCTCTCTCCCCCTCCCTCCTCCTCCCTCCGCCTCCCCCTTCATCCTTGTCCCCCTCTTCCTCCTCCTCCTCAGCAGCATCAACACCATCACCATCACAATCACCATCACCATCATCAACATCATCATCAGCAGCAGCATCAACATCATCATCACATCATCATATCATCATCATCATCATCATCATCATCATCATCATCATCATCATCATCATCATCATCATCATCATCATCATCATCATCATCATCATCATCAGCATCATCATCATCATCATCATCATCATCATCATCATCAGCATCATCATCATCATCATCATCATCATCATCATCATCATCATCATCATCATCATCATCAGCAGCAGCATCAGCATCATCAGCAGCAGCATCATCCTCATCATCCTCATCCTCATCCTCATCCTCCTCCTCCTCCTCATCCTCATCCTCATCCTCCCTCCTTCACTCTACTCCTCCCTCCTCCTCCTCCTCCTCCTCCTCCTCCTCCTCCTCCTCCTCCTCCTCCTCCTCCTCCTCCTCCTCCTCCGCTGCATCGTCCTCCACCTCGTACCCGCATCGTCCTGTGCACACCGCGCGGGCGCGTGGCCTCTCTTCGATCCCTTCGGTCGCCCAGTTGCAATTGCCAGCCTTCTGCCGTCTGGGCTCCACGAAGCGGCCTGGGAGGATAAAGGGAGGAAGGGGATCGGCACGTGGGAAGGAAAGGAGGACAAGGGAAGGATGGGAACAGGCAGCGCCAGCCTTTTCCCTCGCCCTGGGCACCCCCCCAGCACACCCCAGCCCACCAAAGAGGTCCCTGCGTGGGGAGGAGCGAGGAGGAGGAAAATGGGTAGGTAATTGGTTGACTGGTGTATTGGGTTACGGTGTACAGAAGGTTGATATACGTTTGGGCCCTGCTTTATGAACGTCTTCGTTGGACGAGGGTCCATAAAGGAACCTCGGCCCCTTCCAGTGCCAACTGACGGCTGAAGTGAAAAAATTGAGTGATGGGGGCGGGAACCCAAGCAGCTTCATCGATGGTAGCTGCGAGGGGTGTGAGGCCTACTGACGGGCCTCACCGGCGAGGCCTCATGACGGCCCTCGCCGAGGGGAAGGGGGAGAGGGATAGGTGGGGCGTAGCGACGATGCCTTCCGCGATGCGCCCTGGTCCTGAGGGTAGAAGGCTGAGGGAGAACGGCAGGCCAGGGGCCAGAGGAGGGTTATCCAAGAGAGGGGCAATCCTGAACACACGGAGCGTAAAACATGTACGGGGTGGGCAATTCGGGGCCAGCAGCCCTCTCGCGAACCCTACCAAGGAGATCCAGGCGTGCTCCCCCTAGGGCAGGGAACGAATCAGAGGTAAGCCGTTTTGGGCCCGTAGCCCGTGGGCGAACCGTGGACTCGATCCGCCTTGTCTCGTTTCGCCAGGGCTCAATTAGCCGAGGCTCGATTCGCCAGTGCTTGGTTCGCTGGCGTCTCGTGTCGCTGGGTCTCGATTTACCTAAGCTCGACCCGCCCGAGGGTCGATTCCCTGGATTTATGGACCATGGTGCACACTGGCTTGCGGAGTCCGCTCCGAAGTTCTTAAACATAGCGCCTAAAGTATACTAAGATGCACGCTGGCAGTGGACGCAGACCTAGGTGTCCACTGTCAGCGACCACCACATTAGTCACACAAGGATCGGAACGAACACAAACACCTTCTCGCAGCTTCTCTAGCTTCGTGACACATTCCCCGAGCAGTGCTTGCACATGGGGCTTCTTACTTGTCCGTCTAAGTGATTGGACTGGTCCGCCGGGGATGCTCCATGTTGGCGCCCGCGCCGCCTGGCGGGCTCTCGTGGGCGCCCCGTGCCTTGGGAGGATCCGCCAAGGCGTCGCCGCGTCGGCGCCCGTGGGCGCCTCCTGGGCACTCGTGGTGGCCACGTGCCCCGGGTGGGTCCGCCGAGGTTTCGCCGCGTTGGCGCCCGTGCCCGCCCCGTGGGAGCCTCGCGGGCACCTCGTGGGCGCTCGTGGGCGCCCTGTCCCCTTGGTGGGTCCGTCAGGGTTTCGCCACACTGGCGCCCGTGAGCACCTCGTTGGCGCTCATGGGCGCCCCGCGTCCTGGATGGATTGTATAGCTTACACAACATGGCTCATACCGCATGGCTTCAACTGCGAAGCTCGCACAAATGTAAGTCGCACCACATGACATTAGTCACACCGCACAACACAATTCACACCACATAGCTCACACAACGTAGCTCCTACGACATGGTTAACACCACATAGTTCACTCAGCATGCATCCCGCCTCCATAGTGCAAAACTTCCTCTTTGGGATCCACGCCCACCGTGTCCGGATCAGGACCGCACCCGGTGCTCCATCGAAGTGACGTTCGACGGAAGGGCACGGTCCATCGAGGAGCGTGCCATGGTTGCCAGCGCGGGGGCCACCCTGTGGCGGCACAACCCGAGAGGGGGCCCCCCCGCACGGCTAGCATCACGCGTCATTGCCATCCCTGGCTCTGACAGTGCTCAGCTTGCAGAAGCGAGCGGGTGCAGGGCAGGACTTGGCATGCTTGCCAACACGTCACCAGACGTCATGGGGGCCCGCGGTGTGGGAGATAACTTGGCCGCCGTCCGATACGGCGCGGGCACGGGGCGCTACCCGGCGCTTCCCCTTGGCCGCGCTGATCAACCTAGGCCTACGGCCCCCCGTTGAACGAGGGTGGGCGCTCACCTCGCAGGCCGTCGGACGGCGGCTTAACGTCGCCAGTGACCGACTGGCCACGCTCGGGATCTTCTGGGGCCGACTCCCTACAACAAACGGCCGGCACTGCCATCCGAGCCTTGACGGTCTGGCACGACCAAACCAGCCCCTCCCAACAGCCCCTCCCCGACCTCTTTCCCCAGAGGTCCCATCCCTGACACGGTGACCCGACCAGACCGGCGGCTGAGAGCGGTCCAGGACAATGGCAAGAGACTCCTGCAGGTGTTCCAGACGAAGCAACGAGTCAGGTTGGAACCGTTGGAGGATGGCACCGCAGGGTTCGCGCAGGGTGCTCCTTAGGCGCCTGCGGCGGGCTGGGGTGGAAATCCGTGCACTCAGCCTCAACCATCGGAAGAAGACAAGTGGTTGCTTGCCGCTGGGATGCCCGAGGAGCACAGCGGGCCGCAAACGAGTTCTTCGGGTTCGCTCCCCCGTACTGTGCGTCTTTTGTCCAGGCACGCCCGAGGTTCTGGACGAGTGAAGCAGCGTCCGCCCGGCACTGCGGTCTCACCTGTGCGACGCGGACAACGAGGCGAACAACGTCTTCATCTCCAGAGACCCGCCTGACCCCAAGGATACCACACAAATGTTGAACCAGGCGATTTCGTCAGCCTGGCCCGCGCAGACGGGCACTGTCAGTCGCTCACTCTGAGAGGCGGCGTTCACGCAGCAGCTCAGCCTTAGACGGTTCTGCACGCAGCAGCTCAGTCCGTGACGCCGAATGCATGTTTTCAGCGGCGCTCCGTACTGCATCATGGGCGCTTGGGGCGCGGCTGGATAGCCGACCCTGGCGTTGGTCGGCTCACTGCGCGTAAACATGGTGCTCGTTTGCGCAAACTCTGTGGCGGTGAGTGCCATTTTGAGCTGATATAATTGCTGGGGGTACTGCAGCTGTTTGGATGCTGCGTCTTGTTGGTTGTTATTGTTGTTGTTGCTGCTGTTGCTGCTGCTGTTCTTGTCGCTGTCGTTGAATACTCATTCCCAGATAATAATTATCGTTGATCGCCGAAAACGGTTCCGGGCGCCCTCGCCTCGACGCGGGCTACATTCTCTCTGAAAACGAAGACCGGGCTCGAGCGTTGGCCTGACCCAAAAAGCACACCCTTGGAGGCCCAGCCACGACAACAACGGCCCCCGCTCGATACTTCCTCACAATTTACTTCGAGACACCTTTGCCAGAGAGGCCTCCGAATTCAGGAACGGTGCTCTCGCTCAGACTTCCTCGCAATGCAATCAAGTCGGCGGGGGCCCCGTCGCGACGACAAAGGCCCCTGCTCGATACTTCCTCACGATTTACTCCGAGAGCTCCTGACCAGGAAGGCCCCAAACTCAGGAACGGCGCCCTCGCTCCAGACTTCCTCGCGATTCAATCAAATTGGCGGAGGCCCACATGCGACGACAAGGGCCCCCGCTCGATGCTTCTTCAAAATGCATTCGCAAAAGGTCCTTGCCCACCTAGATTTTGACGCGCTGCCCACTGGGGCCCCCAACACAAACAATCCACTGAGGCCCAGAGTAAGCCTACAGGAACCGTAGCACGCACCCCGCAGGCCCTCCGGCACAGCCCACATAGGCGCCAAGCGCGCCCACAGAGGCCCCCCCGCGCTGCCCACAGAGGCCCCAGGCGCGCCCACTGAGGGCCCAGCAGGCTGCCCACTGAGGCCCCCGACGCAGACCACAAAAGTTCCAGCCCACAGAGGCCCCAAGCGCGCCCACAAAGGCCCCAGCGCGCTGTCCAACGAGGCCCTCCTGCACAGCCCACAAAATACCAAACCCCCGCCCCAAGCGCGGCGCTGCCCACGGAGGCCCCCCGTACCACAGAGGCCCCCGACACAGCCCACAGAGGCCTCAAGCGCGCCCGCAGAGGCCCCAGCCCGCAGAGGCCCCAAGCGCGCCCACAAAGGCTCCCGCGCGCTGCCCACCGAAGCCCCCGACGCAGCCCACAGAGGCCCCGAGCGCGCCCACGGAGGCCCCAGCGCGCTGCCCACTGAGGCCCCGACCTCCTACAGAGGCCCCACACGCGCCCGCAGAGGCCCCTGCCTACAAGGGCGCCAATCGCGCCGAGGCCCCCGCGCGCTGCCCACTGAAACTCTCCGGCACAGCCCACAAATGTCCCGGCGCGCCCACGGAAGCCCCAACCCACCGATGCCCAAACGCGCCCACGGAGGCACCATGCGCGCCCACGGAAGCCCCAGCGCGCCGCCCACTTAAGCCCCAGCCGACACGCCCTAAGCGCGCCCACGGAATCTCCAGCGCGCTGCCTTCTGAGGCCCCCCGACACAGCCCACAGAGGCCCCAAGGGCGCCCACGGAGGCCCCAGCCCACAGAAGCCCCACGCGCGCCCACGGAGGCCCCCGCGCGCTGCCCACCGAGACCTCCGACACAACCCACAATGGCCCCAAGCGCGCCCACAGAGGCCTTAGCCCGCAGAGACCCTAAGCGCGCCCACAGAGGCCCCGGCGCGCTGCCCACCGAGGCCCCCCGACACAGCCCACAGAGGCCCCGAGCTCACAGAGGCCCCAAGCGCGCTCACAAAGGCCCCAACGCGCTGCCCGCTGAGGCCCCAGGCGCGCCACAGAGGCTCCAGCCCGCAGAGGCCCCGAGCGCGCCCGCGGAGGCGGCCCCCGCGCGCTGGCCCCCGACGCAGCCCACAGAAGCCTCGAGCGCGCCCACGGAGGCCTTAGCCCGCAGAGGCCCCAAGCGCGCCAACAGACGCCCCCCCGCGCTGCCCGCAAAGGCCCCCGACGCAGCCCAGCCCACAGAGGCCCCAAGCGCGCACGCAGAGGCCCCAACGCGCCGCCCACTGAGGCTCCCCGACACAGCCCACGGAGGCCCCATGGGCGCCCACAGAGGCCCTAGCCCGCAGAGGCCCCAAGCGCGCCCACAGAGGCCCTCGCGCGTTGCCCACTGAGGCCCCCGACGCAGCCCA